ATGAAAACTATTCGTTATCTCCACATGTTTCATTTCATAGATATTTATGGATCTCTTTAATATCTATTTTTCCTTCTGTGTTCAATAATTCAAAAGTGTTTTTGAAAAATTTAAAAATCGATTGATTACAAGATCAGTAGTTCTTGTCCCTGCTGACAAAGCAGGTAACAACATTGTCCTTATTAAGGCTCATTTTTTTAACTGTATTTCAGACGAAATAGGATATATTTCTACAAGTGGTAATCCAACTTATACCTATAACTTCCTTTCTAAGAAGGAAAATCTTCAAAATCATATGCCAGTTTTGAATATGTTTTATATTCCTCAGAACAAAAATAAATTTGAATTACATACCTATGGGTTCCAAACCTTCATAAAAAGACAAATTGTTACAAAAATACATAGCAGGTTCCTTTTAAATGTTCTACCAAGCCATAAACTGCAGGTAAAGAAAATTAAACTGAGCACTGTGAAACAATATTTCCGAGAAATGGTGTAAATCAGATGCGCTTACTTATGTAGCCATATAACAATTTTACCTGCAAATGGGGTTTGCATCCCCCATGATCAGTATATTCTATACGCAGGAATATGTTCTACAAACAATGTATAAAACAAGGCAAATCATTGCCAAAAATGTTGTTTATTATATATATATATATATATATATATATATATATATATATATATATAAAGCACAATTTACAACAACTCTTAAACTAATATAACTGCCCTAAGTGAAGAAATATTAATATAGAAAGCACAAAGAAATTCACTTTTACATGGATACCCACTTCCGCCCCAGCCCGGGGTTGAACTCTCGACCTTCGGAATCTGTCTCCTAGCAGTGCAGGAACAGCGCGCTAGACCGCTCGGCTATCTAGGCAAGACAAAAAACTTGCTTTCGATGCCGATGGAATTCTCGCGGCGCTGCCCTACACTACACGGTCATTGAGAATAGAAGTGAGATACAGTTATTTGGACATTAGTTTTAACAGAGGATTGTTACCAATACATGTTGTAATGAAATTAATTATTATTTATAAAGCACAATTTACAACAACTCTTAAACTAATATAACTGCCCTAAGTGAAGAAATATTAATATAGAAAGCACAAAGAAATTCACTTTTACATGGATACCCACTTCCGCCCCAGCCCGGGGTTGAACTCTCGACCTTCGGAATCTGTCTCCTAGCAGTGCAGGAACAGCGCGCTAGACCGCTCGGCTATCTAGGCAAGTCAAAAAACTTGCTTTCGATGCCGATGGAATTCTCGCGGCGCTGCCCTACACTACACGGTCATTGAGAATAGAAGTGAGATACAGTTATTTGGACATTAGTTTTAACAGAGGATTGTTACCAATACATGTTGTAATGAAATTAATTATTATTTATAAAGCACAATTTACAACAACTCTTAAACTAATATAACTGCCCTAAGTGAAGAAATATTAATATAGAAAGCACAAAGAAATTCACTTTTACATGGATACCCACTTCCGCCCCAGCCCGGGGTTGAACTCTCGACCTTCGGAATCTGTCTCCTAGCAGTGCAGGAACAGCGCGCTAGACCGCTCGGCTATCTAGGCAAGTCAAAAAACTTGCTTTCGATGCCGATGGAATTCTCGCGGCGCTGCCCTACACTACACGGTCATTGAGAATAGAAGTGAGATACAGTTATTTGGACATTAGTTTTAACAGAGGATTGTTACCAATACATTAATAATAATTAATTTCATTACAACATGTATTGGTAACAATCCTCTGTTAAAACTAATGTCCAAATAACTGTATCTCACTTCTATTCTCAATGACCGTGTAGTGTAGGGCAGCGCCGCGAGAATTCCATCGGCATCGAAAGCAAGTTTTTTGACTTGCCTAGATAGCCGAGCGGTCTAGCGCGCTGTTCCTGCACTGCTAGGAGACAGATTCCGAAGGTCGAGAGTTCAACCCCGGGCTGGGGCGGAAGTGGGTATCCATGTAAAAGTGAATTTCTTTGTGCTTTCTATATTAATATTTCTTCACTTAGGGCAGTTATATTAGTTTAAGAGTTGTTGTAAATTGTGCTTTATAAATAATAATTAATTTCATTACAACATGTATTGGTAACAATCCTCTGTTAAAACTAATGTCCAAATAACTGTATCTCACTTCTATTCTCAATGACCGTGTAGTGTAGGGCAGCGCCGCGAGAATTCCATCGGCATCGAAAGCAAGTTTTTTGACTTGCCTAGATAGCCGAGCGGTCTAGCGCGCTGTTCCTGCACTGCTAGGAGACAGATTCCGAAGGTCGAGAGTTCAACCCCGGGCTGGGGCGGAAGCGGGTATCCATGTAAAAGTGAATTTCTTTGTGCTTTCTATATTAATATTTCTTCACTTAGGGCAGTTATATTAGTTTAAGAGTTGTTGTAAATTGTGCTTTATAAATAATAATTAATTTCATTACAACATGTATTGGTAACAATCCTCTGTTAAAACTAATGTCCAAATAACTGTATCTCACTTCTATTTTCAATGACCGTGTAGTGTAGGGCAGCGCCGCGAGAATTCCATCGGCATCGAAAGCAAGTTTTTTGACTTGCCTAGATAGCCGAGCGGTCTAGCGCGCTGTTCCTGCACTGCTAGGAGACAGATTCCGAAGGTCGAGAGTTCAACCCCGGGCTGGGGCGGAAGTGGGTATCCATGTAAAAGTGAATTTCTTTGTGCTTTCTATATTAATATTTCTTCACTTAGGGCAGTTATATTAGTTTAAGAGTTGTTGTAAATTGTGCTTTATAAATAATAATTAATTTCATTACAACATGTATTGGTAACAATCCTCTGTTAAAACTAATGTCCAAATAACTGTATCTCACTTCTATTTTCAATGACCGCGTAGTGTAGGGCAGCGCCGCGAGAATTCCATCGGCATCGAAAGCAAGTTTTTTGACTTGCCTAGATAGCCGAGCGGTCTAGCGCGCTGTTCCTGCACTGCTAGGAGACAGATTCCGAAGGTCGAGAGTTCAACCCCGGGCTGGGGCGGAAGTGGGTATCCATGTAAAAGTGAATTTCTTTGTGCTTTCTATATTAATATTTCTTCACTTAGGGCAGTTATATTAGTTTAAGAGTTGTTGTAAATTGTGCTTTATAAATAATAATTAATTTCATTACAACATGTATTGGTAACAATCCTCTGTTAAAACTAATGTCCAAATAACTGTATCTCACTTCTATTCTCAATGACCGTGTAGTGTAGGGCAGCGCCGCGAGAATTCCATCGGCATCGAAAGCAAGTTTTTTGACTTGCCTAGATAGCCGAGCGGTCTAGCGCGCTGTTCCTGCACTGCTAGGAGACAGATTCCGAAGGTCGAGAGTTCAACCCCGGGCTGGGGCGGAAGTGGGTATCCATGTAAAAGTGAATTTCTTTGTGCTTTCTATATTAATATTTCTTCACTTAGGGCAGTTATATTAGTTTAAGAGTTGTTGTAAATTGTGCTTTATAAATAATAATTAATTTCATTACAACATGTATTGGTAACAATCCTCTGTTAAAACTAATGTCCAAATAACTGTATCTCACTTCTATTCTCAATGACCGTGTAGTGTAGGGCAGCGCCGCGAGAATTCCATCGGCATCGAAAGCAAGTTTTTTGACTTGCCTAGATAGCCGAGCGGTCTAGCGCGCTGTTCCTGCACTGCTAGGAGACAGATTCCGAAGGTCGAGAGTTCAACCCCGGGCTGGGGCGGAAGTGGGTATCCATGTAAAAGTGAATTTCTTTGTGCTTTCTATATTAATATTTCTTCACTTAGGGCAGTTATATTAGTTTAAGAGTTGTTGTAAATTGTGCTTTATAAATAATAATTAATTTCATTACAACATGTATTGGTAACAATCCTCTGTTAAAACTAATGTCCAAATAACTGTATCTCACTTCTATTCTCAATGACCGTGTAGTGTAGGGCAGCGCCGCGAGAATTCCATCGGCATCGAAAGCAAGTTTTTTGACTTGCCTAGATAGCCGAGCGGTCTAGCGCGCTGTTCCTGCACTGCTAGGAGACAGATTCCGAAGGTCGAGAGTTCAACCCCGGGCTGGGGCGGAAGTGGGTATCCATGTAAAAGTGAATTTCTTTGTGCTTTCTATATATATATATATATATATATATATATATATATATATATATCAACGGTCTCATTTAAACTCATCATTTTGCTGGTACTGTGATCGATACATTGATTTTGTCTCCAAATACAAACCAACGTTAAGTCTAATGCAAATAGACAATTCTCCTACTTACTGTTAGGCGATTGTTTACAAAATAAATTGTTCACGGATTTTGTTGCTATTTCCCGAGCACATGGCAGGTATGACCGGTCGGTACGGGATGTTCTCTTCTCCATGGCACCTGATCCCACCTCTGTTATTTTAAAGGTCCCTGCTTTCTCTGCTTCTTATTTCTTATTGTTTGAATGGACTATTGAGCTTGAGTATTTTTCATTATCACAATTTATTTCATGTTAAATAAAGCATATTCTGGCTCAATTAATCTTTTGTACCCCCTTTGTACAAATTCAGATTCCCTTATATGTACATACGTAAAATTATGTAGGGAAAAGTTTTCCTTTAATGAACAACAGATTCTTAGTTCAGACCCCATTCCCCCGAAAAAGGTTGCAACCGCAGTTGATTTTCTAGCTTCATCCTTATTCTGACGGTATTGATTTGAATTACGTACATGCAGACTTCTTAAAGAATCTTCCATAATGATATTACTATAACTGGCTTTGTTGTTGAAAAAGAAGCATGGAACGTATCAAGTCAACTCACAACGTTTTATAAAGTCTTTGCTAAAAAAAGATACAGTTGAAACATCAATAATAAATTTTGCATGGCTGATAGTAGAGATTCTCTGTTTTAAATCAATTCCCTTATCAAATTTTCGTGTGCATCTGCAGGTTTTTTTTTGTTGTTGTTGTTTTTGGAAAATGTGAATATAAGGAGTTTAATAACTTTAGTCTTTGATGTGAATGAGTGGTGGAAAACAATGATAAGAATCTAGTGCTGTTATACAGGTCTTTGGATGGAATGTTTTGTAAATAAAAACTTTTCTTACCTTAAAAAAAACTATATAACAGTTTAAATATATAAATGTTTGCATAATTATAATTCTCTTCAGTCAAGAACGTTTTAAAGCTATAATTCCTCCGTAAGGATCGCATCATATTCTATGCAGTGTGGTTGGGTGATTTAAAGCTATAATTCCTCCCTTAGGATTGCATCCTTATTAACAAAGGGAAGTGGGATTTGATTTAAAATTATATTTCTCCGGTAGAAACTCATCCTAACATAAGTCATGCGGTTTGTTGATTCTCTGTTGGAATTGCATCTAAACATTGATCACTGTGGTTTGTTTTACAGTTTTGAGTTTTCTTACAAATGTAAATGCAGAGCCCCACAACTATCCAAACAGCCAGGATGACTGCACAAACCTGTAAAGTAAAAGGGAATAAGAAAAAAAGAGAAGAAGACGTTGAAGTGAAATGTACGAAGAGAATGCCATTCAAACACTAAAAATGAAGATTAAGACGCTTGTGGGAATAGGTCATTAGAGGGAAGATGACGTTAGAGGAATAATACATAAGATGATATTAGACTTGAGAGTGTATAAGATTTTCAGAGAAAAATACGTTAAAAGGAAGATGAAGTCAGGGGAAATAAAATATTAGAAATATGATAAAAATAGAGGGAATACGATGTTTGAAGTAAATAAGATGCTAGAGGGAATAAGTCGTTAGAGGTAAGATGATGTTAGAATGAAAAATACGGTAGATGGAACATTACGTTGGTTAGAATTAGACGTGAGAGGGAAATGATGTTAGAGGGAATATGACGTTAGAAGAAATAAGACATACGATGAAGTAAGAATTTATACGGCATAAGACTTAATATAGAATTAGATGTAAGATGAAACATATGGAGATAACGATCAGTATTAAAGATCAAAAGTCCATAAAACAATACAGAATAGGAGCAGAGCAAACACGGACCTACAAAACATCAGAGGTGGGATCAGGTGCCATGGAGAAGTGAGGAATGAGATATTTCAATGAGGAATGAATAATAATTTAAAGGGAAGATGAAGTTAAAGGAAATTAGACGTAAAGGGAAATAAAACGTTGAAAGTGGTAGACGATAGTCGGAAAAAGTTGTAAGAAGGGAATAAGATTTTAGAGGTTTATAAGAGGGAATAAGGCATAAGAGGGGAGGATGTAAAAGTGAATAAACCTTTGATTGAATATAAGAAGTGAGATAATAAATTGTAATATATTATAATAATATTTGTTAGACATATAATCCGTTGAAGTGAATGAAACGTTAACGTTAAAGTGAATAAGATGTTAAAAGAAATAAACTGTAAGGTAGAATAAACCATAAGAACGTTCTAAAATGTATATTGTATGTTTTTTTTTATAAAATACGTAAACTCAGTTCAATTGGTTGAAAGATATTTTCAATGTTTAAATATACTGACACGCAAAAGAAACGCAACAAGCAGTAATCTACAAATGTTTGATTTTTTTATCTTATGATTTTCAAAAGAGAATAAAGTAAGGCTAAACTCACTTTTCAGAACATCAGAGATTTGAAAAAAATGTTAAATGTTTATCTGTTTACTTTATTAAGTAAAATATAACTGTTAAACCCCCCCCCCCTCCCAGCCATTCAAGTAAAACGTGCAAGACTGCCCTAAACAACAATTGCAGCTTAATTTCTACGATACAATAGGTTCATTAATATCGAGATCTGAGCGAAGGAATAATTCTTTGGCATTTTTAAATGCCCGTTTTTCAGATCATTAGGTCGAATTTTCTCTAACTTAGAGCAGTGTAGCCACCCTTGGACTTACGGTACAAGGACTGTCCTTAATGCATATGATACGTAAGACTGTGTTGAGGCGTAATGTAGTGAAATTTGGCATTAGCAACTCTCCATCACCTTTACATTGAAATTTTCCAGCTAGAGCAATGGAAATGCGTACATAAGCCATTTTCAAGTAGCTTTAGCATTGTTACGGGAAACGAAAGGAGATTTTATTTTTGAAATATTGCTGCATTGCGTATGATGATCAGTAAAAAACCCTTTAAACTCCATAAAATTTCCAAATGTTTTGTTAAACATGAAATTTTCTATTTATGTTAAGCAGACTCAAACTTGACTTCCGGTTATGGTATTGAAATCGTTCAACCGTTAAATTACCGGTGTTTACCAAATTGAAGATATTCATAATTTTAAGATACAAACTTCTTTACTTTACATAATTTTTCCCCCTAAAGTAGGGTGTTGCGTTTCTTTTGCGTGTCAGTATACATTATTATTATGCTCCTTTTGATGATATTGTTTAAGTTCAAAATGTGATCAAAACATATAAATACTTTCAAAATCCCCAAGGTTAAGGAAATGGTAGCTATTACATCAATCTGGTCATCTGTTATGGCAAAGTCATCCAACATCAGAACACGAGAAAAACAGCTCTGAAACGTTAAACAATAAAATAAAAATTGGTTGGTGTGGCACTTTTGAAATAAGGAAAAAATTCAGACAATTTTTGCTCCAAATTTACAATTCATAAGATTATAATAACATACTGTGACTCTTTACCACATTGTTTGGATAATAACTTTAGGCATCCAGGTGTGAAGTTTTATTTAATTACTAGCATTTAAAAATGATTTTCAGAATATTTTTATGCTTATGATATGTACATCTCTATAGGTTCTTTCCTCGACTCTTGCATGACAACCTTCTGGCGCACTTTGGTAATCATAAATTGTATATGCTTTACAACATGATTTCGGAATTTGAGAATTCGTCAGTTGACAGGAACCAGACGTAGTACACCAAGGACTAGTGTCAAAGTCGTTGGTTGTGCTAATGACTTGGTTTACAGCACAACAATCATACTGAAATATGGAAAACATTCAGCTGACTAACAGAGTTATTCATTGTTAGTACCACTAGTAGATAACACATTTTTAACTAAATTCTCTTCGTGAACATATTCGATTCATACATAGAATTTTAATTAAAACGATGAGTAAGTAAGTCGAGAGCAATTAAAAACAAAAAACACTGATGCTACCTTAGTGCAACTCAAGGCCGATTTAAAAGTTATTCAAATGTGAGACATTTTACATTTGTCACAAGAAATATAATAACCACCCACAAAAAATCACTATCCAAGATCGTTTTTGTGAGGCAAAAAAATGTGACTCCAAAGGAAAGACATTGGCTCAAGAAATGCATAGTTGAAATATAAATTCTTTAGCAGCTAAAGGTAAAATTAAACTTTAATAATGTACGTCAAATTTCATTGTGATGAATATTGGCCCTTAAAGAAAGATTTGTTACAGTGAATAAAAAAAAGTGATTTATGAAAGTTCTTACTATCATTGTTCAAAAGTTCTGGTCAAGGTTAAAGGTTACTGATATAGGCAAAACTTTTAGGTCTTACTTAAGTTTTAGGTCTAAAGAATAAGAAAATATTGTTGCACTAAAAAGATCTAGATAATTGATTTACCTAGGTTAGGTATAGAAGCTTATCTCCAAGCATTTAAAACTCGTGGCCTACATAAAAGTTTGGTAAACCTTTGCAAAAATATGTCTAACCCTATGGTCAGAGATGGGGGTTTTTTTTACAGAAGGTATATACATATTAACTATGAAAGACAAGGTTAAAGGCAAAAAAAGTTTTCGAAGAAGAAAATCTAAGATACCAAAACTATATATACTCCCTTGATCTTCTATTCCGGGATTATAAGAGCACCGTTGCTTTGTCCTTAGTACAATTCATTTATCAGCATTTACTCTTTTCAAGAGAAAATGATATAATTATGGTGTCCGGATAGGACCATTTGCAAAGGCTCAACAGCGCGTTCAGGAAAACACGCTGGCACGAGTTCGCACAAAACGCCGTCGCGCTAACACACAACACGCCGTCGCAAGTTGTGTGTAAGCGTGACGGCGTTTTGTGCGAACTCGTGTTAGCGTGACAACGTGTTTTTTTTTCTGAACGCGCCGTTGAACTTTAGCAAATGGCCCTATTCGGACACCATGTATAACATATTCCAGCATAATCATGCATTATTCACACTTTTATCCGACGGGCAGAGACACATTATTTTCTTTTTATTATTTTCTGTCTGTCTGGGTTATTTGCATGTCTGTTTGATCCATTACTTCTAAGTATATTCTTAGTGACTAGACCTATTTTGGGGCATCACAAAATTTGACCTTGGACTTAAACCAACTTTTACAAAATCATCACCAAACTTTAACCTAGGCCATAGCTTTTAAACAGTGTGTGTTTGGGCTTTTAAACTTTACATGTGCATTCATTCTGACAAGACCATTCAGTGTATATAAATATTTTTGTCCTTGTGACCTTGAACTTAGAGTTTGACCCAGTTTTATTTTCAAAAAATCAACTTTGCCATAAATTTTGAACAACTAAACCAGGGATTTAATTTTTCCGAGGATTATTCCTTATGACAGATCCTTCCATTGGATACCAACAATACGACTTTTTGCGTTGGACTTTGTTTTGCATTTAAGAAACTTCCATCTTCGCCTTAAGCGAGAGCACTAGTGATTCATTTACACATCTCGTTTCTATATAAGTTTGTCGCAAAAGAACTTACACTTTCTCATCCCCGAAATCAAAGTCCTGTCCTTATGTCAATCTGTCTATTTGTCCCTAAAAACTTTATCCTTACCTATTATTTATTAGTGGAAAATATGGTTTTCATATTTCACAGGAATACTCCTTAAAACCTTTTAAGTACCAGAAAATTTGACCTCTTGAACTTGACTTTGGAGTTGACCCATTTTTACAAAAACTTACCAATATATGGCCATAAATTTTTAATAGTTGGCGCTAGGGCTTTCATACTTATGATGTGTATTTATTGTGACAAGACATTTCAATGGGTATATTTTTTACCTTGACTTTACAGAAAAGCCAATTAAAAAAATCTTTAACCTTGGCAATGAATTTTGAACAGTTAGTACAAGAACATTTAAATTTTACAGGTGTTTTTCTTACGACAAATCTTTCCTTAGGATACCAACACTTTTGACTTTTTAACCAACAATTTGGGAGTTGACTTGCACTTGAGAAGCTTCAACCCTCGCCATAAGCTGCCATGAAGGGACATCAGTGTTGCACACTTCTTGTTTTTAAAAAAAAACAATCATAATGGCTATAAAATCATAAATGTTTGCAAATAAGACACATCGTTAAAGCAATTAACCTTGATAAAGAAGTTGTTCCAACGGTCGGAAGTACTATCGTTGATGCTTATAACATCCGAAGTAAAATTCTCTGTGAGTGATTGGTTCATTGCACTCTTCAGTTTTCCATAATCCTGTGGAAGAATAGAAAAGTTTTTTGGCACACTAAGCTTCTCTTATATAAGACATACTTTTAGGTAAAATACGTTAAATGATGTGATATGATGGTTTGGTATCAAAATATAAACCTGAGTATGTAAACTTCATGCACATATGAAGAAATTGATAACGTACCGTATCTTTTTTAGTCGTTTTGGAATCGACGATATTATTGTACCCGAGAAAAAGCAGAACTGATAACACAATTGATTGTAGGGCCAGCTAGGAAAGATGAGATTAAATTATTGATATTGTAAAATAGACGATAAAGATGTTATTCCATACTTACAAATCAATAAGTGATTATATGCAGGTTTGGTAACGTAAATATGATTAATAAAACTTACCACGGTATAACAAGCTAAATACATGTATGCTGTTCTGTGTCTTTCACCAGGAATCATCAATAAAATCAGGCTCAAAAACAGAAATACGAAATCCAGGACAAGTGCTGATATCCCTATTCTCCAGATCTGTTTGATGTCCTTAGAATTTTCATATTTACAAGATACAGTAAAATTCAGGCGTAGGTATTCCACGGCTTCCTTGAGATCACAGGATTTGCTACGTTTCGTAACATCACAAGAAGATACCAAGACCACTGCAACAACCTTTGCAAAAATTGATTTTATTCCACTATTCAAGTGACAAATGATTTTAATACTCAGTTTAAAAAGGTGACCATTCGATAGATATTTTGATGTTCAAAACACAAATAATGCACCAAAGATTACAAGCATTTCTATTTTCAATATAAATATGTAAATATAGCATTTACATATTCGTTTATTTGTTTGCATATTGTTAAACGTTCCACTCGAGAATTTTTCACTCATATGGAGACACCACCCCCACCTGCCGGTGTAGAGCTGCAAATTTTGTTCTATCCTCGGCACTTTCGGCCATTTGCTAGTGATGAGGGATCTTTTTCGTGACAACACCTACATGTACTGCGACACGGGACCTCAGTTTAAATGGTGTCATCCGAAGGACCAGTCGACATGTCCCAAAGTGGAGTTTGAACCTGAGACATAAGAGTCAATTCCTTACTCCACGATTTAAGTGGAAGATGCTCTTACCACTGCGCCACGCGGGCGACCATATTATTCGAAAAATTGAATAAAGGAAATTTACCATTATTGCTCCTGTGAGTATCATCAACGTACAATTCCCTTTTTCGTGAGCCTAGATAAAAATACATAACTGTTATTCAGTTCTTAGATTATCTTAATAGAAATGTTTTAAATCATCAAGAAGTAGTAATGTGTAGTAATAATGTGGAAATTTTGAAATTTACAAAAATCACTTTGTCTTTTTCTTTTTTAAAATCTTTTTTTAGACATATAATATTTTGATCCACCTTTTCATTATTCCGTTTTTGATTTTCTTCCGTCATCTTTTGTTTTGGTTTTTTATTTTCTTTCACCTTTTCTTGATTCATTTTTTGATTTCCTTCCGTCTTTTCTAGCTTTGGTTTTTGAGTTTCATCCATATTTTCTGGCTTCAGTTTTTGATTTTCTTTGTCTGCCATTGTTTTCTGAGAGCATGTTTCAACAAATATATAAAACATTAATCGATTTCGAAAGTAAAAGTGGTTGTTTTGTGGCGTTTTATAAAGTATTTTTTAAACGGTTAGAAAGAAAAAGAGTGTTTATAACGAATAGGGTTCAATATTAAAAAAATCTATAAACATACAAATCTTGAACAAGGCTGAAAATACGGAACCCCGAAATTCCAGAGGTGGGATCATACGAATTATCTTACGGAAATCATAAAGCCTCCATGCCAATGAAAATGTTTCTGAAAAAGTCAAATGTGAAATTGAGCCACTTAAATTCAAGTTTTGTAAAAATTCAGTTTTGATCATTGAAATAATATTCATTATTGAAAAGAATGGACAGTTTTCCAAAAGGAAAGGACACTTAAACGTAACTTAAAGGATTGCTTGGCGAGTTAGCTCATTGATAATACAAACAAAATGTTTACGTAACAATAGTGTTTTAATTTCTAATTAATAGAAAGTGTTTATTTTTTATTCATTGATTTGTTTAGCTAGGGTTCTAAAGTCACTAAGTTCATATAAAGAAAAAAAATCGTCAAATAAAATGTGCTTTGCTCCGCTCATTCTATGTAATGAAGATTTTCTTCTCATGAAATGACCTTAAAATAACTTAGACATAAATTTGATTTTGGGAAAAGTAAGCTTCGCTTCATGCTTCAAACCTGATTCAATTTGAATCTAATGCTTTTGATTCATATCACATTACTCCAATCCAATCCACTCCAATCCATTCCACTCAGTATTTGACCATAAGCAGTTACATCATTAATCACAACTGATTTAGTTTTAAAATAATATATAATAATAAAACTACCTAAAACGGATTCCTTTTTAAAAGGGCAAATTACTCTTTCCTTGAAATTAAAACCAGAAAAATAGACGAAAAAACTGTAACTTATATCTGTTAGGCGTGGTTCTTAACCATACATGCTTTTCATAAAGTTTAATGTATTGCAGAGTTATAAAAACAAATACGTTTTGAATATTTTAGTGGTAATAAATGAGGCACGTACAAGCCTCTTTCCCTTGAAGAAATTCTGGGTGTTTCTTACCTGTATTGTGAAAACTTTAGACGATCTCCGTATATTCGCTTAATAAATTATTGATGCAGATGCGCACTGCACATGTTCCATTCTTTACAGATTGAATAAATCGATGAAAATTCACATATTAATTGCTATGGCATTACTTGCATCACCTGCATTTGTGCTAACGATAAAGCATTTTTGCCTAATGCATATTGTTGAGGGAAAAAATAAAGAGCTAGCATCTATTTAAAGGCGGATAAAAGAATACAGAACCTTCTACTCAACGGATAATCCGCATCAACGATTACGAAGTATCATATTACAAATTAAAAGAATTCTACATTGTATCTTTGTTGAGGTTGTTTTTGTTTGGACAAATGTTTTGCTGTTGTGGCGACTAAAATATTACCGCTTTACAATAGACCCATTGCAATACATGAAAACTTATCCTTTTTGTTTGTGTTCTGACTTCCACTATTGATGTTGTAATGATTAATGAAAACGCATATCGGACGTAGATCAAGCGTTGAAATACATGTAGCCCAATTTCCTGTCATCTTTTATAATAGACTACTGAGTATTCTGAAGTGAACATAACAGACTTCTACTTTTCTGTTCTGCGATAACTCTTTGATAAGAAGGTGAGTTGATAATTCAACCGGAACATTTATTTCGGAAATAAAATATCAGAAGCTAGAGAGGCCTAATATGCATGTAATTTTTGTGCAGCTGTTTTTGTGTTTGACGTCAGTGGGCGGAGACATGACATACCTCCGTAATTTAAGTCTATTAGACAACATTTTTTAAATCTATATTTTACAATTTCATGTCATAATTAAATGTAAATAGAAAGAATCACTGTCTAGTTTGTTTGGTATGCTAGGGACATCAAGAACAGTTGGAAACTTGGGATAATTTATGCATAACGGGTTTCACCCGTTATGTAAATTATCCCACGTTTCCAACTATCGTTAATGCCCTGGATACCCAACAAACTAGACATTGATTCTTTCAATACATGTTGCAAAATTGCTAAAATTGATTCACAGTTTGTTCTGATTGTCATTTAACATTTCATATTGCCCTCATATTTGTAATGTTTCTCTTGGACTTTGAAGCTTGATTGTTTTTGTAATCCCCTTAATTATAAGTTATTTTATTGGGAAAAATAATAGAAAGCAAAAAGCATGCGTTAAAGAATTCAAATTCAAATTTGTGCTTAATATATTCACTGTATCTCTCTTTAAAGGGACATGAAGGCAGTTTAAACCATTTTTTAAAAACCTATCTTAATGTTTACAATTCCTAATTAAGGCATTTCAGCAAAAATTTGAACATTATTTGTTGATTGACATAGGAGATACAGAACTTCAAATTCCTCATAAGGTTAAAATCGTGCCTTGTTTTTGTTATATATATATATATATATATATATATATATATATATATATATATATATATATATATATATATATATGTATATAAAATATTGATAATAAACCAGTTTCAGCAAATCACTAGAAACTGTCCAATCGTATATAGAGCTAACTTCTTAATTGCAAAAAAAGAATTGCATTAAATGAACACATATTAGTATATTTAATCTATGTAAACAAAACATGACACGACCCTTGTTTGGGTGCGTATCATTACCGTTACATAGTCATTACCGCTACAAAAAACCTTACATTACCGCTACATAAAAAAGTTACATTACCGCTACACTGCCTCTTTCGTTAACCAGTCACTTATGCGTGTACAGTACAACATATTCATGCATAAAATCTGTTTCCCCTGCTCACCACGGGTAGGTAAAAGTAAGACTTTGAACAAGATGGGGTTTTTTTTAATTAAAATCAATTTTGTTTCATAAAACACACCAAAAAAAATTGAAATCAAGCACTGTTCATATATAAAATTCTATAAATGACCGTTCAAAGCACTCTTCAGCTTCTCGAGGATCCAAAAACCCAGCCAAAGAAAACTTTCAACCACTGTTCAAATTCTGTTGATTAGAACTCATGTACCGAATACCTGGGTAAATAGATATATGTATCGGTAATGGGTTGTTTTTGGCTGATTCAATATGTAGCGGTAATGAGTTGTTTTTGGTCAGAAAAATGTAGCGGTAATGATCGGTCGAAAATCTGAAAAAATGTAGCGGTAATGAGTTGAAATTTTTGGCAATGTAGCGGTAATGTTGACCTCCCCCTTGTTTAAATAACAAAGCTTTGAGGCTCTATTTCTGTCTTGTTTCTCGACAACTAAAATGCAATTTTTAATAATTTTAAAAATACCTTAATTAAGTTTTTTAAACAATGGGGGAAAAAATCGAAAATCTTTAGCTACATGTAAAGCTGTGACCATATCCCTTTAAAACATTTGCAAGTTACATGTAGTAATTAAAAGAAACGAAACACATATTTATATTACATACTTTATGATTGTTTTTCATTAGATACATATATTATTCATACAACATTCTTATAAAAAGCCTTTTTCCAGAGGGAAGATTACAATCATATTTTTTTAACTGAAGAATGTCATTATTACAGAATATAAAAAATAAGTCGCAAGGTAAAATATACATTCAAAAAGTTTTAATTAATTTTTTCTTCAAAATATTTTAATATTTTACCAATGTATTTTTGAATCTTCATTGCATTCATACATCCATAAAATAATGCTCGTATTTGTTGATTTTATAAGTAAAGAACCTTAATACTGTCTCCCATACTACTGTCAGATATCTTCAAATACCTTTCAACAATGTGTGAGCATGAGTTCAGATTTGAATTCTAGCTAACGTTCTTTATAATAGAAAACATTTACCAATATAAATAAATAAATATCGGACGCATTCTAGAGAAACTAATACTTCCATAGGATTATTTACGTAAGCAGTTTTACACTATGCACTCGTTTTAAATACAGCCAAATTTACAAGAAAAATTGAAAAAAATTTTTAAAAAATGTAAAACATTGTAATAAACAATATTGAGGTAGTTGTTTTAGAAGGAAATGCTCATCCATGTTAGGAAACCTGTAAGAACGAGGGTCCACAAACCTGGAAAATATGTTCTCCCGTCACCTGAAAAATAATTGTATTTTAAATGCATAGAAAAAATGTTGTAATCCTAAAACCTTATAGAATTCACTACAGATGCAATAAATTATTCACAATCTATTACATCATTACGTTGGAAAATCAATATCCTTGTTTTAATTTGTTTGATTTATTGTATTTTGTGGTTTAAATTTTCTCAGTCATTTGGGGAAGTCACCATATACATGTACCGATGAAGGGCTTCAATTTTTTAACCCTGATGTTTTAGAGATCCGTGATTTCTCTGCTCCTGATTTGTATTGTTTGTATTGAATTTTGAATTCGAATACTTTTCGTTAATCTCCTTATTTTCAACATTTCATGGCTCTCAGGGGGCTACTGTGCTGTTATGCCAACGCCCTGGCGACAGGAAGCTTCCGTTTCAATTGTCTCATCCACAAAATCCTGACCTTCACTTCTTTTGAGAACAGTCAATACACATGCTTATATGTACGTCTTAGGTTTGATAAATTGATTTATAGAATGTTGTTTAAGGAGGCTAGAGGGTCAATAAATAATCTTTTAATTAAACACCAGATATAACTTATTTTTTTAGATATATCTTAAGCCGTCAACTATCATTTGGCAAAGAAAAATTTCATAAATTTTAGTTTTAAAATTCACACTCGCACGCTCACCACCGCTAACATGAGGCACATCTATTTTGAAGACCCACCTCTACCCCAGCATTCCTATCCCTTAATATGATGATTAATGTGTCTGGTAAAATTATATATTTTATTTCAACTGTTTAAAATGTATTTTGTTTTGATAACTATCTTTTTGAAAACATTTGTCTTTTTGATGTACCATCTTTTGCTAACTTTTTCTTCTGATGTTTGCCTATTTTATTTTGCTGTGCCCATCTTTTTGCTAACTTTTTCATATGATGTTTTGATTGTCTTGTCTTACAGATACTTTTTCTAGTCATTTTTGGGGGATCAGACATTAACATATTTTACGTAACTGATAACCAAAGCTTGTGAATCTGATCCCCTTCTTGTTTGTTAAATTGTTCACATTTATACCGTCATTTTAATAAATGACATTATTCATCAACATGAAAGTGTTTTATTTCACTTTTACAAAATTAGCAAAAACAAGCTGCGGTGATCTTGCCTATAAACATTAGAAGACATAAAGGAGATCAAAACAGTCTAAAAATGGTCAAAACCACTTAGCTCCTTTAACGTCCCAATTTGAGAATTTTTCACTCATATGTTGTTATATACTGATGAGGAGCTTCACATTTGGACCTTTACTCGGCACTCAGGATCTTTAAGCAGTGATGGATCTTTCTCGTGCCAACGCCCGCCGTGACAAGGGGCCTCGGGTTATAAGGTCTTATCCGAAGGACCAGCAACATTCACTTTAAATTGCCGAACGCATGGCGAATGAACAGTTTCTATCTAATTTTTATCGATTTAGGTCAGTCGCAGATGAGATTCAAACTCAGAACCTTCTATCCACGGAGCGAGCGAGTTATCCTGATGCCATAGGTTTGACTGTAGCAAATAATTCTTAATCGTACATCCCATTTTAAATCAATTAACTTTATATTTAGATATTTATGATAATCAAGAAATTGATAATGATAAAACTTAATTTGATGTTGTTAAGTTCACTTATTGTATTCAAAAATATATTTCAGCTGAACCCATGATCAACCTATACATTTAAAAAAAATAATTGTTTAACCCTTCATGAATTAAAGCGGATTCCAAGAGAGCACAATTTCACCAATCTACAATTTGTAAATAAAAGCAAATTTTATTTTTTACCATATGGCATGGCATGTTTTTCCTGATTTTCACTGACATTGATAAACAAGATTTAATCGTTTTAAAAAATCTTCTCGGACAAAGACAATTTGGACAGTTTCTTTTGGCAGTTATTGTTACTGATAGCTATGTACAACTTCTTTGAAGTGTCTGCGAAATCACTGAACTGAAAAGAAAGCAAGCTTGTAATATATCCTTATTTTACCGCCAATTTACAACTTACTTGATTGACACTGGATGCCACCTTCACGCCTTGAATTCAAACTCGCAAGTGTTTTAGCAGTTTCTGAGACAAATTCCTTAATTTCTTCATTATCACACGTAGGTAAAGCCATAGTAGCACATGATGAATAATCTGATATTCTTCTGTGATATCATATAAAAAAAGAGGTAATCAGATTTTTGAAATATATATATAACAGTCTTTATGTGAAAATTGTACCAACTGCAAGGAGTACTTATTTGAACCTACATAAGTCCATGAAAAATTATTCGTGACCATGAACATGTAGCTTGCCTTATTTGGGTACTATATCTTTACTCTAGGCCAAAAAAAACATTATCAAAATATTAATAAATAATTCTTGTAGAATGCTTAGGATATCGGTACTTTACTTTTTTAAACTAATTATTGGAATGAAAAAAAATTACAAACTAGAATTTTTTAAAAAAGAAATCGAAAACTATGTTTCTGTGTTAACGTAAGGAAAATGCTTTTTTGGAATAGTAACACTTACTTGCATTCATTACTTTCCGTTTCTTTTTGCAACGGTGGTCTTAAGAATTGCTTGCAGTTCTGGTAAATTTTGGAGCTGGCAAGACAAGTCTTGAAGGAATTCATACCTTTCAAAGGCCAATGATGCAATTTTAAGAGGAAGCATTTTTGTATATTTTATGATTTCTTTTCTTTTTCAAATTTTAAATCACTTCAAAAATATATTTCCCCCATACATTAAAAAATAAAAACTCAGACCTGTCTTCCTAGATATGTCAGAACAAAGATTTTTCAATCCCTTAATTTTCCTTTGTATGTCTTTATTCTGTGGACAATTCTCAAGTTGGGATTCCAGACACAATATAGATCTCTGTATGTCACTAAAAGATATGTCATCATAAGTTTTTTGAAGTTTTTTCAAATCATAATATAAGTTATCTCCACAATAAAAATACTAAGGACCTCGCCCTTTTTTTCATAGTTTTAAAACAGTGTTTATATTCTAAATGAAGCCATACTGTAAAGTTGTTACAAGGAAAATAATAAAAATGAATACAAATTATTGTAAATACAAAATACGAGGGCTTCAAAAATTACGCGGACTCTGCTATTTACTCTTACAGACGTGATATAATTATGAAAATTCACAGAAATATGTATTTTAAAGATTCCAATAAATTTTGAGCAAAATTTCTGTATTTTAAAAAAATGCTACTAAAATTATTGATGTGTTGATATTGCTGATGAAGAGGTACGGAGCACGCCAAAAAATTTGAAACAAAATCACGCGGAATCCAAAACATAATTCATTATTTTTTCTATAATTTGCGATATTTGTCGATACTTTTCTCAAATTATATTATATTGTTCTAATAATTATGTATTTAGATTTCTGACGTGATACCTGGAGTACTTACAGAAATATAGTGATTTTTCTCCGATGCGATTCCGTGAAAACGATTGTGAAAATGACGTCTCCTGAATTGACGGAACACCACACTTTTGTTAAATTATGTGTAGTTCTCGAGATATCGCCAACATAGATCCAGAATATGCATAATGAAAGCTAAATAACATATTTCTTTATAATGCCTGAAGCGTCCAAAATTTCGCTGCTCCGTGACTTAATGATATGCCCTGATAAATCACCCAAAATTGATAGCAGTTTACAACATTTTGATATGAAATTTTGAAGACCATATAAGTAAAGATTCTTATATATTATGTATAACATTTTGTCCGATTATGTCGTCAAATATTTTTTCTGTGCAACAAGTCCGCGTAATTATTGAACGGCCCTCTTACTTACGTGCAGTTCTCAATTGGAAAATCCAATCCATTTAGACATCCGCCCTTACAAACTAAAAATAGAATACAGTAAATAATGTAAAGAGCGTCAGTACGTTTTTTTCAAAATTTTTATTCCTAAAAATATTGACAAAAAAGCCCCGTGAATTATTTTCACCTAAAGGTTCATAATTAATGTAAGATAATTTAAAAGAATTCAAATCACCATTAATGCAAACATGGAACATACAAATGCACCTTACCCTACAAGTATATTTGAGTTTGATTTAATAATCTTGTAGCTTTTTTTAAAGATAGAAACACATGACAGATATTCCACACTGGGTTCTGAACTATGGGCAATCCAGCAAATAATTTTACAATTTTGGAAGAAGACTTTGCTTTAATAGGTTTACAAATCTTTGATGAATATGTCAATTTAATCTTTATTTTTAAAAGGAGATTGTTCTTAGAAACAGTACATATTTTATACACTAAAGTAACTGGTGGAATATTTGAAGAAATTCAGTCATATTAATATTCTAAATCTTGTCCTTACCAGCCTTGCATGCTGTATGAAGCTGCTGTATTGCTGGTTTTGAAATTTTAAATATTGAATGATTCTTGCAGCCTGATTCAAACTTGGTCACACACAACATTGTTGTAGAAACAACATCACTGTAAAATAAAGGTGCAGTTGTATTATTTCTTGAACCTCTCTTCCTTTCATAAATATATTTAACTTACAAATATAAAATGAAATGGAATAATACTCTAAGGATCTATGTATACAAATTTCTGTCATACTGATGCTGAATGCCTGGCTTATGATGTCTGTCACCCCAATGATTTTTTTTTTTATATAAAAATCAATCAATTAGGAAGAGATTATCTAATGCCTTACATTGCTATGATTTTAGATTTTTAAAAGCTGTATTTTTGTCTGTACCTACCATCCATATTCAACTTTTTTCGTATTAGAAAGCTGCCATCCTGCTTCTTCTAAACAACTTCCAAAGCCCGTAACATTACAGTTTTCACTGTCCATAACTAGAATTTCAAAAAAAAAAAAACAAACAAGAAATCTCTGTGAGCCAATGCTCACTAGTAATACCCCCGCTCTGATGTAAATAAGCACTATCATGTTAATATATATACACAAGTTCAATTACAGGCAGATGCACAGAAAAATATGAAGTTGACATTAGATTCATATCAAAATTAATCCCACCATATGGCATGCCTTAACAAAGGGTGTAATAAAATTTCAAGCATCCGCTATGAATAGCTGATAAGAAAACTTGTCACACACAAATTTGTTATGTGTAAAACAACATCACTGTACAATAAAGGAAGTTGATATCCAATTTGAAAATATATTTAATTACAAATATAAAATGAAATGGAATAACCTCAGAGAAGATTTTGTTACAATTTTAAGCATCTACAACGAGTAGTTGCTTAGAAAACTGTGACGAAAATTTTTTTATGAAATAAAAATCAACAAACAGGAAGACAGATTGATCTAATGTATACCATATGGCTATGATTCAGAGAAGATTTGTTAAAATTTATTTTTGACTGTCGATGAGTATCCATATTCAACTTTTGTTATGTATAAAACTGACAGACCCACAGACAAACAGGAAGTTGATATCCGATTTGAACATTAAAGTTTTCACTGTCCATATGGCATGCCTCAAGAAGATTGTGTTAAAATTTCAAGCATCTACGATGAGTAGTTGTAAATAAACTATCATGGAATATATATTGTGATGTATGAAATGGACAGATGCACAGAAAAATAGGAAGTTGATATCCGATTTAAGCGAAAATGTATCCCACCATATGACATGCCTCAGACAAAGATTGTATTAAAATTTCAAGCATCCACTATGAGTAGTTGATAATAAAACTGCGATGAAAATTTGTGATGTATGAAATGGACAGACGCACAGACAAACAGGAAGTTGATATCCGATTTAAGCGAAAATGTATCCCACCATATGGCATGCCTCAGAGAAGATTGTATTAAAATTTCAAGCATCTACGATGAGTAGTTGCTGAGAAAACTGCGAGGAAAATTTGTGATGTATGAAATGGACAGACGCACAGACAAACAGGAAGTTGATATCCGATTTAAGCGAAAATGTATCCCACCATATGGCATGCCTCAGAGAAGATTGTATTAAAATTTCAAGCATCTACGATGAGAAGTTGCTGAGAAAACTGTGACGAAAATTTGTTTCGGACGGACACACAGACACACGGACAGACACACAAGGGTAAAACAGTATACCCCCCTCTCCTTCGGAGCGGGGGTATAAAAAACGGAGCAATTACGTGATGTTTAACAACACTTCAGTTTCTGCTTATATCAATTTTTATCTAGGACAAATGAGATACAGACAACACCGTAAATAACTGTATTTTGTCATTACTTGGCATTACTCCTCCGACGCACGCCATCGTCAGCTGGGTATAGGCCTCATCCAACATGGAGAACATTATGTTACCCTCACAAGAGGGTCTTTGTGTCTCTACACAGTTCTTGAATATCGGATATTTTTCACTGCCAAGAAATAAATATAATATCTTTGCAAATCTGCAATTTAATAATTTTTTTTAAATTTATTTGTATGCTGAGACATATTTAAAATATTAAAAATAACTGCTAAAGAAGTAATTGTTTTAATTTTTTAGTACCAGTTGTTGACATTCTGTGGGGGCTGGTTACTTCCGGTTAGTGCTATACCCAATATGGCGTAGCATTTGGTGGGATCACAGCTTGCACCGCCTAAAATTGTAATAAATTTGGTAGTTTGAATGAAGAAATGTTGTGAAAATCTTTAATAAATGATGTTCCACCGAAACAACTTTTTACCTTTAATTTTTTTAAAAGGAATATTAATATTTTTTTCAAAAGAGAATTGATGACCATCATTCAAGGTCAGCTAAAAATTAAGATCGTGAAAATGCTGACTTACATTTCACATCAGACACGATAGTTTTCGCCACAACAAAGTTCATTTAAGGAATAACTGTCTAGTTTACGATTTGGTGTACAATGAAAATCTGTTAAGCATTCATCCTTTACGGTTTGTTGATTGGCATAAATGAATTATAATTAATCAACGACTTATAATCGTTATAAAACTGCGGATTGTTAATTTTTCACTAAGAAATAAGAAAAATGATTTCCAAGTACAAAAATATAAATCATATGGCCATTAGTGTCCAACCCTAACTTCAGAACCGGGGTTCGACGACTTCACTATTTCGGAAAAGTCATTCTTGCTCATAATTTGTCCGCTCAATGCACAGTGGTAAAGATGAATTTTGAAATATTTATTTATTTTAACTACTGTAAAACAAATAAGAAGCCCAACCAAAAAAAAAAAACAAACCATGAACTTCACAAATTTGATGGAGGACTACACTCATGTCAAGAAGTCTTTAGAAATATTTTATAATTAATGATAGTTTAAGCACCAGCTTAGGGTTAAGGGATTATAAAATCCACAGTGATTTCCTTTCATCTAACTATTTGTCATATATGTCAAAATTGCACAATAATCATAAAATAAAATTTTTATAAATAATTGTCGACATTTCTGAAGTGCGGAGAAAATTAGCACGAAGCGTCTTATGTAGGCATAGTCTAAAACACAGACCACGTTGTATATCAACAATTTTACTTTCTCTTTTTAAACAAACGTTAAAATGCCGTGTATATTTATACATTTCCTATGGAAGTTTTTCAAAAAATTGATGATCAAAGGGCGACAAAACCTCAGCAGTAAATCACCTGAGTGCCTTAGGTGAGCTAAAATTATATATTGTAAACTATATAAATTTTACTTCCACATGTTCCACCAGACATTTGTATGAAACTGCGTGCAGAGACGCAGAGGTATGGGCATTATACATATAATATTGTACATGCATTATGCATGAAGAAAATCGGCAATGTCGCATGCAAGTATTTCATGTCACGAGGTTATTTTAACAATGAAATTTTGGATTTTTTTAAATCGTTTGTACTAGGTTATATGTCAAAATTGATGAAGTCGTTTCAGTGGGTCCGCAGAAGCTGTTCAAACGTTAACGCACGACGATCAAAGGGCGACAAAACCTCAGCAGTAAATCACCTTAGTGCCTTAGGTGAGCTAAAAATATTTTCTAAACTATAAAAATTTTACAAGCATATTCTGTAATTTACGACGGCGTATTCGTGCCATTTTAACAATGTAGATTTTTTTAAAAATCGTTTGTACGATTTATTAAATCGTTTGCACGATTTATTAAATCGTTTGTACAATTTAATAAATCGTTTGTACGATTTAATAAATCGTTTGTACAATTTAATAAATCGTTTGTACGATTTAATAAATCGTTTGTACAATTTAATAAATCGTTTGTACAATTTGTTAAATCGTCTGTACAATTTATTAAATTGTACAAACGATTCATTAAATCGTACAAACGATTTAATAAATCGTACAAACGATTTTTTAAAAAAATTCTACATTGTTAAAATGGCACGTCGCAGTAATTAATTGTTAAGGTAGTTTAAATTTTTTGGTGGAGATAGAGATGCAGGAAAGATTCTTACTTTAAATAATACACATTTTTAGGAAAAGGAAAGTGTTCTACAGAACCAAACGTCGGTAAATTACGAAATCAATTGACATGCAAGCCCATATTCGTATACCTTTGGACTGTTTCGCTATTATACAACTCCCCTCCAAAAAATGAAGCCAAAGAAAATGAACGTTGCTTTACCAAAAAATCCCAGAATAAATAAATTAAAAATATAATGTTAATATTTTTAAAAATTTGACTCGATATAAAATAATTCCAATGAATGACTAAAATAGAGATACTTTAAAAAATCAAAGTATTTAACATTTTAAATATAAAACAGATTAATAAATGGAGTGTCATTTTTTAATACAGGCTATAGCGAAAAGATTTATCTTAAAAGTTTTGTAGTGAAATATTTACCAACACAGAAACCGCTTATCTCAGAAAACCCTGCAACCATCTTTTGGAAAATTGGGTCAGACTCACAGGAGCTCCGGTAGGGGGCAATACAAGCGTCTGTAGTTTTGTAAGCTCTGGAAACAAGACAGATATATTTGTATATATGTAAAAATTGTTTTAAAATTAAGCTTTATGATTTCTTTTAAAATCGTTAATAATTTCCTCAATAGATTTACATAGGTATTTCTACAAGCGTATTACTAATTTTTTTTACTCTTTAATAATACATAAGATAATGTATCTTATTATAGGAATAGGAATGCAACATTACTCACTCGCATGCTGTTTGCAAATCTGTCGTAATTTGTTCTGAAGGTATATTTTCATTTTCCAAACAACGTATCACCCCTTCAATGTTACATTGTGCTTGGATCAGAGCTAAAACATCGTGGAATTTACATTTTGTTAAATGTTGAGAAACCTGTGGTTTCAAATAAACAACATTTCTCTGTATCGAAAAATACATCTAATTCATGACACTATCAAATAAAAAGAAAATGCTTGCTCCTTTGAAATAACGATTGGAAAGGATAAGTTAACAAAGCTTTACTTCAAAATTGATAGGAGTTAAAATACTTTCCAAAGTAGAATTGACCGTTGAATGGGTCATTTTTATAATATGGAGAAAAAGTCCTTTTTTTTTTTTACAATAAAGAACTTTGAACTACCGGTATTATTTTCTAATAAACATTGATCTTTCATTAAAATTATACAAAGTACAGAAATGTCATAATATTTGCGCATTATGTAATCAAAATAATGCTGCAAAAAACATTCGAAAACATCTTTCAAAACAGAGATAAACTCATTGTAACAATTTCAAGGAATATAATCATATAACATATTTCCTACAACAATTTTTATTGTAAACTGGGACAGTTAAAACATCTAGCTCCCTAAATATGTCAACAGGCGTGATATAGACATTAATTAATGTAAAGGTCGCTGAAGGTACACAAGGTTTAATATAGGAAGGTATAAGTCACCAACAACTCCATGTTTCTTTTAGATCTGTCACACAAAAAATAAACCTTTTAAAAATTAACGAAATGCGTTTAAATGTATATGGACCTTTCTATGTGTCAGCAAGTCTTGTTTCTGTGTTCTAAGTTCATAAGAAAAATGTGTCCAAAAGTAATTAACAAGTTTTAAACAATTAGATTTAGGTCATATTAAAGGATATTTTTAAGAACTGTCTTCCGCATAAATAGGCTTTCTATGGAGGCACTACTGTTACAATCGCATGTTCATACAAAATCAATACATTACAAGTTTTAATTCCTGTAGAGATCTAAGTCATTTGTAGTGATATCTCTTCCGTGCATTGACGATTTGACAGGATCATTTTATATTCAGGAGTTCTTATAAATCTTTTCTTCATCAAGATTGTAATTATCATTAATTTACATTAGTTAATCATGTAAATTCAAATATATTTCTTTATTACTTAGTTTTAACATTAATCTGGTTGTGTTAAAAAACACCACATACAAATACTTTGGAAACAAAATATATAAAAAATAATCGAAAATGGTGAACTTATCAATGAATATAAATATAATTGCAATAATGCAATGGAATCGTGATTTTACGCCGTTCATTCAAACATGTTTCATTGAACTTTTACATTTAATATATTCTGAAAAAAATGATGAAAATCATGTATTATATAAATATAGCCCTTTGATTAATATATATCGACTTCACAGAAAAGCATAACCGAGCACGAAGTGCGAGGTCGATATGCTTTTCTGTGAAGTCGATATATCTATGGATTGACCGAATTAAAGGGCTACATTTGTTATATTATTTTTTACATAGATTGACAATACAAATTATGAAAATATTTGGAAAAGTTTTCTCCCTTTAACAATTAGAGACTAGAGATCAAACTAAATTACACCGTTTAATGTAAATGCGTTTCCTTTATATTGATGGAGTGATTTAAACGATTTACTTATTCAGAATACTTCATTTATTTGATAAAGTTTTGTATCAATATTTGACACACATATCGAATATGTTTTAATTAATATGAAGTAATCCTAATCCAATGCCTTCTTTTGTCTCATCAAATACAAAACATTGAAAAAAAGTTAGTAAAAGTTGAAATAAATATTTTTTTTCTACAAACATCAAACCATACACTGTATTAGCTTTGATTGAATACAGTACTATTTTGTTTCACGGAAATTATCTCCATTTTAAGAAACCTCAAGTCGATATGCATTTCAGATTCTATAAATAGTAACTCAAGTCTTTATGCTGTTATATACTAAATCATGTGATCAAGTTTGAGCCAATCAGAGAGCTGGGAATAAATGATAAAAATAATATATGTTTAGATACAAAGACAATATAAAGGTTTAAATTGATTATAATTATAGAGGATTGTCCATTGTATTATCTAAAAACTTAATCTATAGGTACATAGTTTGAATTCATGATAAAAACGTTATAATGAACAATAATCACATCAATGAAATGTATTTTACCAAGTTAATTTAAAGTAAGTACATGTACTCTTATCGAGATTGAAAAAAATGGCAATGTATCTTTTTATTCATTAACAAGATATCAGAGCATAATAAAAACCATATCGTGAGTCTATATGATTTATAATAATAAAAACTCAGGGCCACCACACAGCGTACATGTGTGTACACTTAGATACATCCATACATACGTGTCCTAAAGAGTTGTTCCTATACTATAACATGTATTAATTGCATTATGTTTTGTTTTTCTTTTCTTTACTACTTTTATTAAGTTCTTACCTGAAAGTGTGAGCGTTATAAAAGATACTTCTAGTAAAAACTTAGAACTCATGATGTTATTCTTAACACACGTAAAAAACTATGGCTGACCGCGGTCGACTGTCTCCAATGATATTCGTTTTGCTGTTTGACTGGGGCTTCAGTAAGGGAGTCCTTAAACAAAAGTAGAACGATTTAATATGCAAATATTTTTCAAATATTATGTTTTCGAAATTGACATTCACTTGTATTACTGATATAAGATAGCATAATTTAAGAGAATGGTGTATTAACTGTATGTGTATACTTTAATTATTTCTGGAACAGCGAATAGAAGTAGGTGGAAGCATATTGTTCCGTTTATAATATTGGATCGAAGAACTTCTCGAATAAAATTTGAGCAATTTCATACAACATAATTTTTTTTAATGTAACATGCCTTTGCCATGGAAACAGTTGGAAAGTTAAAAGTATTCACTTGCTATGATTAGAAGCCCTGATTCATACATTCTCTTGAGAACATTGTGAAACAAAGCATGACGTATCTATAAATACAGTGTATGGGATTCCCTGCTCATAATCATACGCTGTGCACTAAGAGCTCGAGGTTGGAAGGGAGGGGTAAAATGAAGAAAAAGGGCAAAATAATCAATTCAGGAACACATTAACATATAAAAGTCATGGTTTGTCTCTACAAAATGGAGAGTTTGATTTTACGTACCTCATTCACAAAAATGGCCGTCGTGCAAGTCTCCCTGAAATTCATTGATGACTAAGATTATGTTACGTAATTGCTTATTGTATGATGCCTGTGCTAGCAGAAACACTGCAGCAAACGGATCCCGCTCTACAAATATGGATTTCTCATGTTCACACGCTAAGGCAAGACTTACAATATTATAAACAACATTTACATAAAATTCATGTATTTTAGCCATAAACATTGCACAATATTTAACAGATTATTACTTTAGCTATAGGACTTTGAAATAATTTTACCGACCATTGCATTCACACTTCTAGGAGGAGGTTAACAGAAGCATTTGCGGATATTTTTATTATCTTATTTGAATATATTCTGTGTACCTTTCAATATCCGAAGTGTATGGTTTTATAAAAGTAGATTGAACTTTCGGTGCAAGGTTTTCATTGGTTAAGAAATAAATGTCAACGAAGTTTTGTATTAAGAAAAATAGAGCAGTGTTCTATTCCGAAGGGCCGGTGTCAAGACGAATAATGACCCCCATCGAATAATGACCGGGGGTCATTTTTCGACAGCGAAAAATGACCCCCGGTCATTATTCGACGTAGAAAAATGACCCTTTTGCCCGTAGAAAAAGTGTCACCACCCTAAAAATTTGCAGAACCCACGTGAAGAAAAATGACCCCGTAGAAAAATGACTCCCTGTGGATTAAAGCTGAAATTTTTAGGGGGCAAAAAAAATTATATAAAGAAGCATATTGGCCGAAATGCTCACCTGAGCTTATTTGGAATAAATTGATGATATGTTGATCTTATAACATACGATTATAGCTATATTTTAAGGTCAGTGCGATGATTCAGAATCCAAAGGAGTAAAGATTTTTCGAGCTCGAGACTAAATGGTTACATGTAGGTACACATTGTTTTTCGATGGTGGAAATCATCGTACTGAAAGAAAACATCAGCAGTATCACATATTATTATATCCTTCGCTTGAAAATTTTTAAATATAATGGTACCCAGAGTAGGGTCTTCTCACAAGAAATACAATTGCAAAATAGGAAAGCCCTAGCATCACTTGTTCAAAAATAATGGCTAAGGATAAGTGTTTGAAAGGTAGGTCAAACTCAAAGGTCAAAGTTGATGGTTTCTTATGGGAGGTTTAATGTAACATGGATTACATTTGTGAAGTATGAGAGTACTAGTATCTACCATGTCTACAGTTAAAAAGTTATAGCCAAAGTCAATTAAAAATTTGGCATTTTTTTGTAAAATGGGACAAACTCCAAGGTAAAGGTCAAAAGGTCAAACTTGGTGGTTCCCAAAAGTAAAGTCTTGTCACATATTGAATATGAAAGGCATAGCTACAATAAATGAAAAATTATGGCCAAGGTTAAAGTTTTTGCTGAGAATCAGACCGCCAGATAGACAGACAGACAAACAGAAGGACACGATAAAACTATATACCCCCGAATCTTCGATTACAGGGACATAAAAAGAAATGATCTTCAATTAACTTTTCAAATTGTGATACAGTATACAGAAGACATTACAAAAATGAAAATGTTTGGTCTGATTTTCATATTAAATTCTCTGAAAAATATACTCAGAACTTGGTAAAAGGTCGGAGTAAAACAAGAATTAAGAAATGTAATGAATACTGTGTGCTAAATCAAAAGGTTATGCCTACATGTATAGTTTTTGCATTAGAATGTGTATTTTACACTAGCCCATAGCTTTACAGAGCATGTATTTAGGTGTTATATCCACCCCACCCCCTTACTTATTTTATAGGAGAAAGTCGATTATCAACAAAAGCAACAAAAAAAACTACCCTACCTTCATTTTTCTTTAAGGAGGGACTAAAAATAAGCTTAAAATAATCTACTATTCTACTAATTTTCAACTGTTACTTTGCCACAATACTTTCAAGTATACCCCCACCAATATTTAAAGTACATGTATGCTTTAATCATGGCGAAGTAAATTATGATATGATAGAGCTTGTGTGAAGGCTTAACTTCATTTCAGTATTTTATCTAGATCCTCTTTCAGCATTATTGAAAGGTATAGAATTTTATTTATATGTTTGCTTTTCATTTATTTTTTTATTTTTGTTTTAATTTAATGTATTTATTTTTTTTGGGGGGGGGGGGTAAAAATTTCCTCCTTTTTCATTGTAAAAAAGGATTTGCCAAACTTATACAAGCTAAAAGTTGAGATAAAGGAAAAATTAATTTTTCGGTTAAAGAGTATTTGGACCTGATTGTTGCATGGTTTGATTTCTAAAAACAAGTGGAATATCATTCTTTAAGCAAACACTATAAGGAGGAAATTAAAAAGAAATTTTATTACTTGACAATTAAAGAATCTCTTTTTCACTTTAAAGGGGGTCATTTTTCAATGGTGGTCATTTTTTATAGGAGTAATATATATAATATAATGACCCCTATGACACTTTTTCTGCAAAAAATGATTTTTTTCTACGGGTAGGGGGTCATTTTTTGTCGTTGAAAAATGACCCCCGGTCAGTATTCGATGGGGGTCATTATTCGTCTTTACACCGGTACACACGGTAAGGCTTGCCTTATATTACCATTACACGCCAAGTTTGGACTTTCAGTAAGGCGTGGTATTCTCGACGTTACCTAATTAGCTTCTGAAATTTACACAGCTTCCCTTCGCTGTTGAAATATACATGTGATAGAAATGCGGCCGAATGTCAACTGGTTTAGTAAATAGCCAATTAAAGTTGAACTCTCTCACGGCACAGAGGTGGGGCATAAGTCGTCTCATCGTTATCAACAACAATTTTAAGTTCCTAACGTTATTAACTTCTTAACCAATGAGAATCTACTAGTATTCGCTATTACGTAGCGCCGAGAAAGTCACGTCCTACTGAAAGTCCAAAGATAGGGTAAAATACTCCTAAGTCTAAAACCGTACGTTTTTCAGGACGTGCGGCTCTCGTGTCTACACACTAAGGCAAGACTTACAATATTATAAACAACATTTACATAAATGCCATGCGTTTTTAACTATAAACAGTGCGCATTATCAAACAGAATAATAGCTTACTAGCAGTTTTACCGACCAAGGCATCCACACTTCTTAACAAGGATATTTTCATTATCTTACTCGAATATACTCTGTGTTTTCTTCAATATACCAACGTGTACGGTTTTATAAAAATAGATTGAACTTTGGGTAAATGGTTTTCATTGGTCAAGAATTAAAGGTCAGCTAAGTATTGTATTAGGAAATAGAGCAGTGTTCTATTCTAAAGTCAGACTTGTAAGGCTCTAAAAAACGTGTATTAGAGAACACCAAACACGTTACGAACGAATATCTGCTTTACGAACGGTAAACTTGTTTACATTGTGATTAGCTGTGTTACTGACGAAACGTACGGACGAATCACACGTAAAGAAAAACAAAAATTATTTGTAAATTTGTTAAGTATAGGGGGTTAAGTATAGCAGAGGGGGGTTCCAGGGGTTACAACCCACCCCTTTTAATTTTGTACAGAGAGAGAAAGAGAGAGAGAATAGCTTTTCTGTAATATGGATATTTATATGTCTTATCATTTGGATTTTTTTAAAAAAATCGCTGTACTCTCTGTATTATAAGATCTAAAAGAATTTAAAATCTGTAGATTTACGCTTATTTTGCTTTCCTCCGTGTACCTTCACAACCCCGTCTAAGGCCTCCGAACATCCACAAGTAACATGTAAGGAAGATTCCAGCGAACCTTAGCTATACCATTTTTGGACCATCTTCAGAAGAACTAACCTTTAGAAGTATACATCAATATTTTTAATCAATATAGAAAACTGTTTAAATGTTTCTGTGGTATGCAGAACGAGGGTGCTCACTTTTTCTGAGAATAATCTTCTGCTGCAGTTTTAGATAATATATTTTGTTTTGGAAGCTCCATCCACATCGTTTGTTGCCGGAAAATACGCAGATTCGAGACTGAAAGTAATGTACCGAACAAAAAAGTGACAGGAAGCCCTCCTCTACCCCCTCCAAATTTTAAAGTGTGGTGCGTAGTTTTTTTTTGTTATATTTTTGCTTGTCAAATGTTTTTGGAGCTCCCTTTTTTATAAATTAAGCTACGGACTTGAAGTGGCCACGGTGTGATTCTATGCATGAGTGCTGGGTACACCGACCTGGACCTCCCCCCTTTTAAAAAATTGCTGGACCCGCGTATGTTAAAGGATGACCTTTGTTTATTACGATAATGTCTTGTATATACCGCGCCAAATTCACAAAAAAAAATAGCTAAACATAGTTTCACAGTCGAAAAACTAGGTTTATCGGTTGTAAACTATAGTTAACGTTAACAAGTTGAACGTTAATCTATGTTTTACATCTGTAAACCATAGTTGCAATAATCTATGTTTCAGAACAGTAAAATATATTTAATACTGAAAACAATCATTTGCGATTGTAAAACATATATTATCTGAATATATATTAACAGTTTCATGATTTGTAAACTATGATTTACAACTCTTAACTATAGTTCACGATCTGATAAATATTGTTTCACGATTTGTGAAACTATGATTTAGAAATCTTAGCTAGAGTTCACGATTGTAAATTATAGTTTACAGACGAAAATCTATTTTTATCAACAAAATCTATTGTTAAAGTTTAATTACAGACAGATAAACCTAGATTAGCATTCGTGAATTATAAATATTGTTTTACAGATGAAAACTATAGTTAAAAAAATGTTAACTGTAAAACTACGTTTAGCTCATTTTTGTGAATTTGGCGTGCCATACTTACAGGATGTAACAATTATCGATACGACGAGCTGAGCACAATTTAACAATAGATTCAAGTTCCCATCTAGGCTGTCGATATCAAAAACCCGACATAAATATCATAACTCGATATTGGTCGTTAATATCTAACTAGGAAGACTAGAAATATGTACTAGCAGTTAAACTGTCTCGATTCAGCGGCGGATCCAGGAATTTCAAAACGTGGGAAGTCTGGGGGCTGCCAGTGGGTCCAAGACAAAGTCCTGGCGAGGATCCAGAGGCGAAGCTGAAACTGAGGAACTCTCTGTCGATTTTAAGATAATACAAATAAAATTAAAAAATCATATTAATTGGGGAGCGGCGCACGCCCGGCGCGCTGGTG